CGATATTTACGTAATACCGGAAATACGCAAAAGTAATAGATAGTGTAAATTGAAGATAAGCATACGGTAAAATAAAATAACATGATAAAAGAACATAATGTTCTTATGTTCTTAATGTTCATTATGTTCTTTTATCATGTTATTTTATTTTACCGTAGGCTTATCTTCAATTTACACTATCTATTACTTTTGCGTATTTCCGGTATTACGTAAATATCGGCTACATAAAAACACGCACCAATGTAAAATCTCCCATTGTACCTGAAGAAGGCTGGTTTGGCCAGCCGAAATATAGTACACCTTCAAAAAATCATTCTACGTTGTGTCGGTTTTTGCTTTTGTATTCTTCTATTAAGACAGAAATCGTTTTTAGGTAATGGTAACATGAACTGGTAAGTGATACCTCTTATCGAAAAAACACGTTAGAAAGGAAAAGTTGAGAAATAATAAGGAAAAGGTAGGGAATTTAACGAGGAGGCGAATAAACTAAGGACAAAAAAAACTGAGTTAAACGGGAAAGGAAAGAAATTTAAAAGACAAGCGAAAGGGACCCAATGGTAATTTCATGAATTAATTTGGTGTGGCAAATTAAGTTCCATTTGCTGACAGATACATCCAGATGACTCTGTAAAATTAAAAATATTATCCAAATGAAATCATGGACATTACATTTTCCCGCTATTTTACACTTCCTAAAGTGGGGATTTGTTTTCGTTTTATTTATTCATTTATTTATTTATTCATTCATTCATTCATTCATTCATTCATTCATTTATTCATTTATACATTTATTCATTTATTTTTTTATTTGTCTATTTATTTATTTATTTATTTATTTGATTATTTATTTATTATTTTTAAGTAAAGGGTCAGTATCCTATAGAAAGCCATCAAGTGTGTATCCCTTCCAAGGCAGCATTGGACTGAACTTAATGAGTTAATCGCGCCTTCAGCATCATTCCGCAGAATTTCCGATGTTATTATAAGTAATTATATTTTAGTTATACAATGATGCAAGAAACGAAGTAAATTAAACCTTGTCTGGACAGTCCTACAGTTTTACTTTTATTCTATCCTTTGAGCAGTACAGTTTTACCAAATCCTACTCTAAAATTGATATACTTTCCGCATTGCCCTTTTTCATCCAGTGTCATGCAAGGAACTTTACGCGAAAAATTTGTAAGTATAAAATTTGTATTATTATTATTATTATTATTATTATTATTATCCACGAGTTTCACAATATAGATATGTTTTAAGCTGGCTGGGTAAGGTTTCGGGCACTTACAGACTTGTTTTCTCTGATTGTTCAATACTATCACCCTTCCTTAATTAATACTGCGATGCTGGTATGTCTTGGTAATCAAAAACGAAATCAATAATTCAATTGTTCTTGTTATTAAATGTTTATCAGCATGGCATTACACAACGTTTTGCAAATAAAGTTCTAAAGACATTAAAGATGCGGCTTGGAACCACAAACCTTCAATACTGGTGGATTCAAAGACTTTACGGATAATTTTGTTTTTGATCCCTTTCGATTTCTGTCGAGTCTGTATACTCTCGTTACACTTAAAAAACTGTCCTCAGCTAATAGCGAGTGGGTCTTACAGAGCTTATGGTGTAAAAAAAGTGCAAGGCACGAAAGATTATAAAGTTCAGTTTCGGTTCTGTGATTGTTGAACCAATTTAACTCCACAGGACCAACAAAACGAGTCCTCACTGTAATCTGGGGGCATGCGGAGTTGGACGTTGGAAGCTTGTAATGAAGATTGACGGCTCAAAGGTTATTACAGATTGTATTGACAGTATTTTAAAAAGAATCATGTTAAGGTGCAAGGTTTCGAGAACCAGAAAGTTCAGTGGGAAGTGTTGGTCAGACAGTCTTCGTTATTTTTAGTCTGTTGTACTGAAAGTGACCAGACTGCTTTCCATCAAACTATACGAACTTCTGTTTGCTCCGCAGTATTAAAATTTCAAGATATTACCAGATATTCATTATTTCCACCAAACCTACCCCAAAAGGTAAATAAGTAATGGTAATAGGACTGAGTGGAGTCCAATTCGGTCTGTTTTCATAAGAGAGATAACAAAATCGGACGACCAAGCAGCGGGGGTCCGATTTGTTTATCACGAGTATGATTACAGACCAAATTTAATGGTAAAAATTACAATTTCCGAGAAAAGAAGAATAACCAAGTTATGAGAGAAAGGGAAAATTTGCATTAAAATACCTACAAAGGAGATGTAAACATTTTAAGGCCACCGCCCTCCTACGGGCAATTAGGCGCAAAAAACACAAAAACAAGCACGCACGCACGTAACTACAACTTTGAATGTGATTGGCTTATTGAACTGTCCGTTAATAAACTGTCCGATAGCAACTTGGCAAGTGAATTAGTGGAAAATAGGAGTTTTTTTTAAATTAAACCAGTCAAAATCGAGGAAATTGTCATTTTTATGATTAAACGCGATATAGGCCTCTAGTTAGATTTACAAGAGAATCATTTCATTTCTTTGAATGTTTGTAAAAGGAGCCTGTGCTCTTGAATATAAGCTATCGGCACTCTACTGTAATTACTATTACTTGGCTATAAATAAATGGCATAGACACAGTGGCATTGTCACACCGTTTCCAAGTAACTGCACCGATAAAATCGTTAAAAGTATCATGGGTTAAGTAATATAAGCAAGTATTGTAAGAAATATTTTGTGAGTGGACTAAGTAATGACAGTCTCTCTGTAACTCTAAGTTTGGTTGTGAGTATTAAAATTTGTCATTTTGTGTTGTTAATAATGTAAGTAAGATATGTTAAAACTTATTACCTGACTGGAAAGAAAGTTTCTTTTTGGAAATTTTGTCTTTCAGGGAACCTTTCACTATAATTCAGGCCTTTGGAGCAGCAACGAGACATTTAACGTTGCAGGAGGACAGATTGTATTTGATACCCAAGAGACCAAATTGACGACTTACTGGGACACACCCTTCACAAAGATTTGTCTCGGAATGAGGATCCATGACGAGGAAAATATCAATTTTCTCGTTATAAACCAGGTAGCTGACTCTTTGTATTCTCTGATCGCTGACGGACAATATCGCCCCACCTCACTGGGTCGTAATACGTGGAAGAAAATCATTGGTTCCCGAGCCTCCTTACAGCTCAACTGCAACATGGAGGGTTTCAATGCTGTTTGTTCTCGGGTATCTAACACCAAAGCAAGAATTGGTTTTGTTGGAAACAATGAAGATGACTGCAAGAGGTGTGATTCCAGAATTGGGTTTGGCACAGGAGGCAGTCCTGATGACTCCAATACGTGTGGAAACGTAGCAAAATACTCACCAGATAATGGAGTCAAGTTCATTGAAGCGATGGGTTACATTTTTATCCTCTAAGACTTAAATTCCGTTTTTAAACATTCGGGATCTAATTTGACTTAGATTACGTTTTAAATATCCGACATTTTTTTTGGCAACGTTATAGAGTTGTGGTTAATGTAATGCCTCCGGCTTACGGACCCCATTTTTACCAGCCATTGACCCGTCGGGTCGCTAGATTCTTGAAATGTTAACAGCAGAACCAGGTAGCTACCAACAATACTACTTAGTCAAGCATACTGGTACACGTTCTAATTCTCTGCACTACTCCGTGATTACAGGCATAGTATCTTTTTAGCTTGCCAGAGTCGGGTTCTATCTGATCTATGTAAGTACATGGTTGCCTATTTGCTGGTCGATATCCTGAAGTATTTTTTAGCGTCTCTCCCCATTCTCCCTCGCCGTTTTTACATTCGCTTCAGACCTTTCGTTCGAATATTGACTGTCGCCCGCATTCGCAAAAAATACGACTGTTTTGCAATCTAGTTCCAACGAAACCAATTTTGTCGTACAATTAACATGTTTAGGTGTTCAAATCGACAATACAATCGAACCCCTTTTAAGCGGCCACCTATGAAACGGCCATCCCTATTAGGCGGCCAGTAATGAAAGTCCCGATGAGGGCTTTTCTATTGTTTTTACCTCTATTAAACGGCCAACTCCTTTTAGGCGGCCACTATCCATTTCCCCGAGGGTGGCCGTTTAATAGGGGTTGAACTGTATAAACTTTCTTGGTCGCCTCGTATAAAGTCGTTGTGTAAACGTTTCTCTGCGAGACTGAAGAAACTAAAGCATTTCAGGGCCTTGATAACCGCATTCTAGAATCACAGGGTATCCTACAAAGTATTGCGTATTCTATTCCTCTCCGGGGGTCCTCCAACTCACCCTAGTCCCTCAAAGATATTCACATTAGAGCAGCTAGAGTTTTTTGATATTAGGGCTCCACTCACACTGTTGATCTTCTGCCGGTAGCGAAATGAAAATCTCTGCTAAACATTTATAAGAAGAGAATGACACGCATAACTAATGGCATTTTACAATAGAGCACCTGATGGCATAAATAGAGCACCTGATCGTATAAACTCTCTTTTTACTAAACACTTTTGGCGGAGAAATCTAAGAGACAACCTTAAACTTCACGTCCAGCGCCCTAACAGTTATTCTTATCGTTCTTATTTCTCTCTTGGAACAATCTGCCGATATATTTACAGAGTGAACCAGACCTTGAGACTTTCAAAGCTGTTTTAAAAACAAACCATAACATTCTTGATCGATTAACATTCAACGGAATACAGAGAACAAACAAACAAAGTCATTGTTATATAATTAATTTTATGAAAATATTTACTTGTAGTATTTTATCTGATATACCGTTGTTACCTGTAATTGTTGTAATTATCTGTCTATTTGTTTATTCACCTAACGCGGGCAACCGCACAAACAAGATAAAACGACGTGTTTTTTTTCGTTGTTTTGTTTTTTGTTTTTAATCGATTTCTCTTTCCTCTTGGAGGGTTGGAGGGATGCGCGGTGGCCTCATGGTTAGTGCGGAGAAATCTAAGAGATCGGGGACATTGTGTTGTGTTCTTGGGCAAGACACTTTACTCTCACAGTGCCTCTCTCCACCCAGGT